AAAGAAAGAAAGAAAGAAAGAAAGAAAGAAAGAAAGAAAGAAAGAAAGAAAGAAAGAAAAAAAAACTGGTGATCAGTGTGGAAAATTTGGCAATTTTTTTCTGTAATATCTATCAGTCTGATTTCTGCACACCAGCCTACTGTGTTATCTATTGTTTATCACTCTACCATCTGTGATCTTATCTATCCACCTTCTATTGTTTTATCTCCATGTAGTATTTGTCACTGAAGCTGTAGAGCTAATGTTTTGGTAGAAATCATTCCTGACGATTCCCTAAAGAGTCAAGACATAGGTAGCAGAAGCTTCCAAGGTAAAATTCAATGTCTTAATTCAACATTTTTTGCTTCACACTAACTCCTGGAATCAGAGGAACATTTGGTCACCATGACTTTGTGAAATCTTTTTTGTAATTATTTGACCACATTATATAATTTTTTCAAGTGTGATAGTCTCCCCAAGTTAAACTAACACACATCCAGGAGAAAAATATCTTTGTCATCTTGCAATTTGTATTATTAACACCATTAGCATCAATATATACAGAATTAACTCTGCCACTTGATTCTCTCTGCCACGGATTATTGCTGGGGACTGAAGCTATATCCCAGTTTCTATAAAAAGACATGAATTAAAAAGGGAGGATAAAACATTAAATGTCACGGTACTTATCTTGTATAAATCAGGGATTTGCTACTTCACGATTTCTGCTGTGGCCTGTCACTATACCCCAAACTGAAGGGGATTTCAAGAATCCTGTGTTTTCTATTCCTTTAGGATGCTGTGTAACTCATCCAGTGACATTTCTGAGAGTAAGGTGAAATAAGCTATGAATATTGCTGTTTTCAACCTGGGCACAATGGGATTTGTGGTGATTCTATTTCCTCCAAACTCCTACCTCCTCCATGTCTCCAGCTCTGAACATTAGAGTCCATCTATGAATGGGGTTTTGTGATGAAGTGAGGGCTGGAAACTTGGTCTGTGACTCTCGCCACTTGTTCTCAGCTCTCAGATCTGACTCTTGACATCAGCAGAATTTACAATTAACGCCTTCTTTATGCTATATGGTCTTAATCCTAGTGATGTCTCTCAACCTTAGAGAATTATCCCGATTTTAAGCTTTTAAGAAAGATGCATTTAACCTTTGTTGTACTAGCTGTGGCTCCTTTTTTGCATGTTTGATTTGTTTGATAATTGAATTACATAGCCACTTTCCTTTTCCAGCTTATTACTTATCAACAAGGTACCTACCAGAGTGCCTTGACAAACAGCAGGCCCTCCATAAACATTTACTGAATGAATGAATGTACATTTTATTATGGACGTTTCATTTTGCCAATGATGAGGTGAATGTGCTAAGCACTGCAGCCTATTGCTTGCAAATGCGGTTACCACTTCAAGCACAGTTTACCTGATTCCCTACACTAGCCCTTTACATGCTCCATTGACTTCCCCAACAACATCCTTACCATGCTGTGTGGCTTTTACTCCACGCACACTGCTGCCTCTTTCTCTAAGACTATAAATATTCTTAAATAAAAGCAAGCAAACAGACAGACAGACAAACAAATCTCACATCTCTTTATGCGTACTACAATTCCCAGGGCTAAGTATGCAAACTTATTTAGGAATGTTTGTTGAAGTAATAAATAAATAAAAGAGGGAGTAGAGAGATGCCTCAATGGCCAAGAGTGCTTAATGCTCTTAAAGAAGACATGTGCTTAGTTACCAGCACACAGATCAGGTGGTTTACAACTGCTTACAACTCCAGCAACAACAGATCTGACAAGATTTTAGCTTTCAGGAGCACTGGTAGCATGCACACAGAGATTCAGACACTTAAATAAAAATGAGTGCAAAATAATAAGAATAATAAAAACAATTAACTGAAGTTCCTGTTACAATGGCAAAACATACAGCTACACACAAAAGACAACACACCATTTATCTTTCATTTGATAGTGGCTCCTAATGAAACTGGAGTGCTGAAATCCATTAGGTGTTGAGCAAACAAAAATGAAAACACCGCTTCCCCTCAATGGAAGGCCTGAATTTCTTGTGCAGTAACTCCCCAGTAATGTGATTTGGACTGCTGCTTCTTTCCTTTCTCCTGCCACTTGTTTCCAGTTAGCCCTGCTGTGGGGGGTGGGGGAGAAGGGGGAGTTGTACCTCTTTTTTTATTTTTTTTCCATTTTTTTAAACTTTTATTAATTACACTTTATTCATTTTGTATTCCCCCATAAGCCCTTCCTGGTCCCACCCTCCCCCCCCCCTTTCTGCATGCATGCCCCTCCCCAAGTCCACTGATAGGGGAAGTCCTCCTCTCCTTCTTTCTGATCTTATTCTATCAGTTCTCATCAGAAGTGGCTGCATTGTCAGGATTCTAGGTTATCTCCACGGATAGTCCTTGGTTGGAGTATGAGTCTCTGGGAAGTTCCCTGTGTTCAAATTTTCTTGTTCTGTTGCTCTCCTTGTGGAGTTCCTGTCCTCTGAAAGCCTCTATTGTGCGGACTGTCAAAACAGATGCTGAGCCTGATGGCCAACTGATGGGCAGAGTGAATGGAATTTTATGTAAGAAATGGGAAATAGAAAGAGCTGGAGAGTTGTACCTCTTAAGAAGGTGGGTTTCACTCTGGGAGAACATTTGGGACTGTGCTCTGACAAGTGCTAGGGACCAACTATAGCTATAGAATAGCTCACATGCTATTCTAGTGTTCCCCTCGACCACAGCCTAACCCAGTGTTCCCACCATTTCATTGGCAGTTTACCCTTCAAGGTGGCTTCAACAATAAAAGGGCAGGATGGGAGTAGGAAAGTATGATGCAAGATCAGGAGTTGGGATTTGGGTGGGGCCTTAAAACCTTTACTTCCTGGGGCTGCAGAAAAGGAGCAGAGAGGCAGGAAGGACCAAGAATAAGCATTTTCTAAAAGGTCTGAGAACAAGTTACCTACAGAGCTTCTGACAGGTATATGGGTTACACTCATGAAATCCCAATTTCTCATCTGTCAGCCATGAGTTATGTACACAACAGCTCCAGTATGTCCTTCACTGAGAACTGAACCCTAACTATAACCATACAGAGATGGACAAAGCACACTGCAAAATAAAGAAAAAAATAAATATTCCCTCCTCCAACTCTTTTATATAAATTATACAACATTAAACTCTGTAGAAGTCAAGTGTCTTTTTAGAAATCAGTTTATCAATTTAAAAAAATCTTTAAAATTCCTAGACAAGGGAAGAAAATGAATACCCAACCGAGCCTTATCTCACAATTATCTAAAGCTAAGCTTTTTTTTTTCAAAGAATGAATAAGATGAATGAAATCAGAGAACATATCTATATCTATCATATCTATATTTATCTATCTATCTATACTTATATAGGAAGATATAGATAACTCATCAAAAAAGTAAGCAAGCACTCAGAGAGGTAAACAACTCTTTTGAGTCATCCCTGTCCTTGCTTCTTTCTGATGACACCTTTAATAAAATTTACTGTCTGTGAGATATGCTGCTTTACAAGCCTAGGGAAATATGAAGCCACCAGGGAATCTTTATCTTTGAATTTGGCACTTTGAATTTGGTGCTTCTCCAGATGTGGTGTCAGATCATCATTTCAGAAGCACTTAAGGTAATAGTTATGAATCCAGATTCCTTGGT